GGTGTGCTAGTGTGTCCTCGATAAGCAGCACATTCAATGTAATCCCACTGAAAAACCTAAATCATTGTGCGGTTACATCGACAGGAGCGAAACGAACGATAATCGTTATAACGTGTTTCCTTCGTCCGCGTCACTTTAACCAAGTATATATTAGATCCTATGCATATATATGCAGGGCTTTACGTATGACGTGATGTATATGCGAATAGACGAACGATGCATTTCTCCCTGGCATGGCCTGGGCTCTAGCTCGTGCGTGTACGATTAACGGATAGAAACACGTGTATTTTCTATTTGCACGGATGCTGGCATAACGACAAGCCGTTCTATCGCGTCCTAAATGCTGAGAATGCTTTGCTGGCAGACAGAACACGTAACTACTAAACCGAGATCCCAACCCGTGTGATATATGTACTCACTCGCGCGGCCGTCGCGAGCTGCGAACACATATACCGAGATTACGCGGTTCGAACGTCTCGACTGGGCGCGCAAAATCTGCCGCTTCTATGCCTGACGTCTGTCGTTGCGCCGAAAAGGCTCAAAAACCGCGACGCTCGATGCGGCCATTCATATACTCGCGAGGCGTGGATGGTACTTAAGGCGGCATCAATGTGTTTAATGCTCGCGCCAACTATTTTACTTACCACTATACTCCACGAGAGAAATTCAAAGCCGGTCATTCGGCTGCGCGCTGCTCCCGCACGGTTATCAACTGCGCCGTCGGTATTTGTTGGCCGTGGTTAGTTCGCGTCCGCGCCCAGGTGTCGTCGCTAGATGTGCATGACGGGTCGTCCTGCTAGTGTTGCAATGACGTGTCGTCTGGCTAAGTAGTGCATGACGTGCGTCGCTAGTGTGCATGAACGTGTCGTCTGCTAGTGTTGCGACTGACGGTGTCGTCTGCAGTGTTGCATGACCGTGTCGTCTGCATAGTGTTGCGTGACGGTGTCGTCTGCTAAGTGTTGCATGACGGTTCGTCGCTAGTGTGCATGACGCGGTGCGTCTGTTAGTGTTGGCATGACGGTCGTCTGCTAGTGTTGCATGACGGGCTCGTCCTGCTAGTGTTGCATGAACGGGTCGTCTGGCAGCTGTTGCAATGACGGTGTCGTCTGCTAGTGGTTGCATGACGGTGTCTGTTTGTGGACGTCCACGAGGCATCTAACTTGCGTGCATAATGCAAATTATTGCAATCTAGTGCCGAATTTCAGCGAAAAAAAAATGCCAAAAAAGGAATTTTCTAGAGACGAAATAGTGCAACAATTGCGGAAGCTTACTGTTGTACACCTCCTAGAGCCGGATCGCCGACTGACGTCACGCAGGTGGCACAGCAGTGCCGTTCAACTGTCTCCGGCAATGCACACGCACGACGGAATCTGGTCGCCAGCAAGACGACGTGACATATAAAGGTCACCTCGGAAGATCAGCCGTTATTACATGACTGTGCATGTCAAACACGAATCGCGTCTGTTAAACATCATATACTCCGCAAGGGATATATACGCAAGTGTCTACTTTACATGGATTGCGTTTATGAAATAAGATATGAGATATTTTCATAGAAATCGTGATGCCTTTTTAACTGTAATGTTTGTGGCAAAGTATAAAAAGAACACGACCCAAAGATGGAAAGTAAAACCATTGGCGGAGTCGTTTATTTTTACGTAAAACAGGTCAAGGAGACGATAAAACCTAAACTTCTTTCTTGCGGAATGGCTTCTAATACAATGTAATTTTGACTAACAGTGTTACAATTATCATGATATTTCTGTTAACAACGCCTCATTAAATCTCTTATCAACATGGGATACGACGGATATAGCATTTACTTTTTTTTAACTATTTGGATAAAACATAATGTAACGACGATTTAACTTCAACGAAACGCTCGTTTGGTAAATGTGATAGGCTAGTGACCATAACCATAACCGCCATAGCCGCCACGTCCGTAGCCGCCGTAGCCGCCATAGCCCCCATGTCCGTAGCCGCCATATCCTCCACGTCCGTAGCCGCCATAGCCGCCATATCCTCCACGTCCGTAGCCGCCATAGCCGCCATGTCCGTAGCCGCCATATCCTCCACGTCCGTAGCCGCCATAGCCCCCATGTCCGTAGCCGCCATATCCTCCACGTCCGTAGCCGCCATAGCCGCCATGTCCGTAGCCGCCATATCCTCCACGTCCATAGCCGCCATAACCGCCATGTCCGTAGCCGCCATATCCTCCACGTCCGTAGCCGCCATATCCTCTCTGTCCGTAGCCGCCATAACTGCCATACCCACCATGGTATCCACCGTAGCCGCGGTTGTGGCTTGGATATCCGTATCCGTAAGAATATTGTGGGTACGAGTAGGACGTATGATGTCCACCGGAGTACCGGTAAGCGGGATAGTGGTATCCCCCTCCGTAGTAGTGCGACGGACGACGGTAATAGGAGTGATAGCTGTAGGGTCGATGTACGACAACGTAGCCATAGCCGCCACTACCTTCCGTAACGGCTGCGATCTGGTAAGGGTGAGAGTATGCTTGTTAACAAAATACATGTGTTTTCGATATGGAACCTAAGTGCTAACAGCATATTTACACATAATTAATTAATTTATTTATTTATTCACGTAATAATTTTTTATTTAGTTACTCAAATTCTTCCCTAATAGATTCCTGTTGTTGTAATAAGTATAGTTGTTGTAAGAGATTTACGAAGGTATCACTTATTACACAGTGTACAGGAAGTAATGTATGACTCACGACTGTTAATCTTCAACGAATGAAACGGAAAAATATGAAATATGATACAGCAGTTCACAATTACGCGTGAAAATAGTACCAATTGTATTTTAATAGTTTTACTGTATTTTTTTTTTGCTAGATAAAAGTGCTAGTAGTAGTCATGGTAACGTAATGACATCAGGAGTGAATAATAATAGATTCTTATTATAATATAATCGATTATTATTCACTCCTGATGACGTTAGTGGGAAGCTTAAGCTCCTTCGTACATAGTAGAATGCACACCCTCCACATCACTGCGCGCGCTAGCTGTTAGAAGGAGAATTACAGACAAGGGACAAACACTTGCAAGTATCATGTACTACTCTTAAGTTTCTACAGAGCACACTGACTACATCTCGGCATTTCACTTACGGCACATAGCGTGGCCAAAACAGCCAAGGCGATCACGCATGTCTTGCCCATGGTGAGGTATGTATTGGAAACTGAAATATGATAAACAAGAAAAAATTTCTTAGATATATAGAGTGTGCGTGTTTTACGTGCGCACATCCTTGTACTATAGCGCGTGTAAGTAATATTGCAACGTTGAAATTCATTCTACGTAAATATTGTCTACATTTGTGTGTGTGTGTGTGTGTGTGTGTGTGTGTGTGTGTGTGTGTGTGTGTGTGTGTGTGTGTGTGTGTGTGGACGACACCCGTCATGGCAACACTAAACAGACGACACCGGCTCATGCAACACTAACAGACGACACCGTCATGCCAACACTGAAACAGACGGACACCGTCCGAAGCAACACTTAACAGGACGGACACCGTCAGACAACACTAGAACAGACGACACCGTCATGCCAACACTAACAGACGACACCGTCAAGCAAACACTAGCAGACGTACACCCGTCACGGCAATCACTAACAGACGACACGCGTCATGCCCAACACTTAGTGCAGACGCACACCGTCACGGCAAACACATAGCAGACGACACCGTTCTAGCAACACTAGCAGAACGACACCGTCATGCAAAACACTAGCTAAGACGACACCGGCGGAGACCGCGCAACAAACCCACGTCTTAACAACTAATACCGTCACGGCGATTGATAACGCTGCCGGGGGATGCAGCGCGCCAGACCGAAGCTGACCGGCTATTGAATTTCTCTGCGCGTTGGGGCTCAATTAGCTCGTGAGACAGGCGCGAGCACTAGAACACCATTGACTGGCCCCGCCTTCAATGACCCATCACGCTCGGCATCGTAATGACAATGCGCGCACTCGAACTTCGCGCGTTTTGATGCCTTTTCGTGCGAAAAAACTCGACAGGGTCGCTCGATAGGAGCGCAGATTTTCCCGGCGCTGCCCGTCCCGAGACGTACGAAGCGCGAGGTACATCTCCGATATAGCTGCTTGTTTCGCAGCTTCCCGCCTGACGCGCGGCGCGAGACGCGAGGCTGACCGCCCCGTCTACATATATCACACCGGCGTCCGCGAGGATCTCGCGCGTCGGTATAGTCACGTGTCTGTCTGCCAGGCAGTAATGGCCCCACGTTTCTCTCAGCTTCTAGCAACGTCGGACTAGAACGGGCTTGTCGATTTATCCCCAGCCTATCCGTACGAAAATAGCAAATAGACGTGTTTCTATCGCTTCAATCGCCACCACGCCACGAGCTATAGCCGCCAGGCGTCTATCTCACGCATATACACACCACGGTCATACGTAGAACACGCTGTGCCAATATTGATGCCATTAGGCATCTAATAACTATAGACCCCCTGTAACACAGTAACGCCGGGCTCGCCTACGACAGGCACCCTCCCAACTTAACGATAACGATATCTTTCGTCACGCCCCCGCTGGTCGTTCCGCGTGCCACCTGACGTCTCAACCGGGCACATGACCATCTCTAGGCTAGCGTTGACTTACACTTGAAGGTGCCTTGCATATCGAGCGGCCTACACAGACACACAGGCACACACACACACACGACACACACCACAACCAACCACACAACACACACACACACACACCCCACACTACACATCGAGAAGCTTCTTTCACTTTCACGATTCATGCTGAACTCCGATGCCCACCCTGAGTTTGAAACACACCCTACCTGCCGTCGCCGGATGCACGCGCTGTCATTCCCGGCTCCTACGCAAACCACATTGTTCCACCACATTCTTAACCCTAATGTTATTAACCAACTTTATGTATATTCTACACACAAAAGGTTCTGCGGCACTGCCACAGCCGGGCGGCTCGTGCGGGGGTCAGCCGTCTCCCCCCCCCTGGCCCGCCTGTACATAAGACGACTCTCCATTGTTCAGCAGTACCCAGTTAATTCAGGAGACGCCTGCCTCATGACGATCATCCGCTCTTTCTACTCATAAAACAATTTACTTCGCCGCGCCGTTAATGTTACGTCTATTCATGCAATGCCGTCGTTAAGCGTTCGCCGTCTCGCGAGCTGCAACGGCTCAGTAGACCCAAGCACGCCCCACGACTAACATGCGCGCAGTCTGCAGCTTCAATTAGTACCGCAGTCCGACGTTAGCATTCGAGCATACTTTGGAATGCAGCGCACACAGCCTCCAACGAAAAGATGACAGCGCCAGAGCAAATTCGCTTAGTGGAGCACGCTGAACACACTACCAGCCTTGTCGTCAACACACTCATTCAAACGCATCAAACCACGCACCGACTTGCCACGAACAAAACACAGTAATCCCGCCTGTACCACCATCACATGCAAATGCACACACGCACCTGTACAATACCAGGTACAGCCCCAGAAGCCCATGTCCCAAGCACACAAATACAATAAGCGTTCACAAAAAAGTACAAGCCATACAGGACATATCAATAACAAAACAAAAACAACAGCACACATTCAAAGCTTATCGCCAGACGCACCCATGCACCACACACCGTGCGCACACGCGCCGCTAGGCCACACTGCAACACCACACAAACAGGTATACAATGGTATAAACGCATCATGTAGGCGACAATTTGAGTTTGGCTCGTCGTTGTGAAAAATAATTTGATGTTTAGTTGCATCGACTGACAGTGCTGCCCCAGAAAGCTTCTAGTAAATACAGGATGCAGCTCCGTCGCCACTTTGACACTCCGGGATTGTCCACCGCGGTTGTAAAAGGTTAATTCAGTATATAGTCTCTGACTGAGCTTTCGTGAGCCGCGATAGCACATTATGCACACGTGTATTGCTTCATGCTGTGTGCTGCATGCTCTTGCATGTTTTCCTTATCGCAATGATTGTAGTAATAGTCTGGACGGTGTTTTAAGCTGAATCTTTATTGCCGATTTCAATATCACATGTGCACTACACACTCCAACAACCTTGCCACCGCTATCGAGCGCACGCCGACGGCTGACCGGCCCCACCACGAACACCGTACACACCACCACACACTCCACCACACACAACACACACACGACACACACACACCACACACCACACGTACACTACACAACCACACACACACACGCACGACGCCACACGTACACGTACACACACACTACAACACGTACCACACCCATACACACAAGCACACACACACACCACACCACACACACACACACCACACCACACACACACCACACACCACGCCACACGCCACACGGTACACGTACACACACACCACACACCACACACACACACACCACACACCACACACCACACGACCACCACCAGCACAACAGAACTGTAGCACCAATATTTTACTGGTAGCAATCTGGAATGTTCAACGTTTGCCAATGACTTCACTTACACCGCTGCTATAGCTACAGAGGGTCATCCTGCTGCACCGTAGCAAAACGACGCCACCGACCTACGTATCATATCTAAGGGTGCAATGTCCGTTTTCTGTGTTTATTTCAGGTAATTTCACGAGTAGTCATCCACACTCACCCTACCTCACCCGATGCGAGGCAAATAGACATGCGTGACTCGCCTGTGTGCTGTTCGGGTGGGCGCCACGCTCGTATGTAGCTGCTAAGTGAAATGCCGGGAGAGTGTGGAGTCTCCGGTGGCTGCCTCTTGCTAGCAAGACTTGAAAGGAGTGCAGGTGACCAGTGGAGTACTTGCAGAAGTGGTTTGTTGCCTTCGGTTGCTGTAATTCTCTTTCTAACAGGCTATGTCGCGTGCACTAGTGATGCTGGAGGCGAGGTCGGATGCGTGCTTGCTATATACGGAGAGAAGCGTGTAGTAAAGCGTAGTACTCTGTCACTAACTTCATCCAGGATAGATGAATAATGAAATAGATTATTACTTTTATAATACAGAATCTATTTATTCATTCAGCTCGCTTCGATGTCACCTTTCACCTTGACCTATGACTACTACTTAGCCACTTTTATCTTTAGCCAACAAAACCAATAATACAGTAAAACTCAATTAAATACAATTCGCAGTCGGTACTGATTTTCTTACGCGTATCTGCTGAAACTTCGCTGTATCATATTCATCATTTTTTTCCGTTTCATCGCGTTGATAGATAACAGGTCGTGAGTCCATTAGCGATTTACTTCCTCGATACCGACTGTTGTAATTAAAGTTCCGATACCCTGTGCGTAAATCTCCCTTACAACACACCTTCAACCTAATCCTCCTAATTACAACAACCCAGGAATCTATTAGGGATAGAGTGAATCTTGTAGTAACTTTAAAAAAACAAATTATTAACTGTGAAATTATCCCACTCACGCACCACTCCACCACTAGTAAGCCACCTCACACTTCTCACATGCTTGTGTCCGGTGTTATTTTGCTATTGCCACCTCTACCTCCATATCGAACCACCATGGCTATTTTGTTAACAAGCCACTCATCCCTCACCCTTACCCACCGACTCGCTCCGCGAGCCGTTACGCGTAAGAGCTGTTAGTTGGCCCGCTCATTGTACTGGTTGTCGTACATTCCTATATTACAGCTATTCACTCCTGATTACCGTCGTCCGTCTCCGCAATACTACCGCGTGGGGCCGCACCTCCTCCCTACTATCCGCTTTCACCCGGTACTTCCGCCTGTGCCGACATCAATACGTCCTACTCGTACCCACAATATTCTTTACGGCATACTGGATGATTCAAGCCACAACCGCCCAGGCTACGGTGCTGATACCCACTGGTGGGCTCCTATTGGCAGTTATGGACAGCCTACGGATTCAGAGACTGGATTATGGCGGGCTACGCGACGCTGGAAGGATCTACTGACGCGGACTTACGGACCATGAGCGGTCGTATGGCGGCTATTGACGTGGAGGATATGGCGGGCTTACGGAACATGGCGCGCTATGGCGGCCTACGGAGTCGTGGAGGAAGTATTGGCGGCTCACGGCACATGGTCGCGCTCATGGCGCGCCTACGGACGCTGCGTGAGGATTTGGCGGCCTTACGGACATGGGCGCTCTAGTGGGCGCGGCTACGGACGTGCGAGGATATGGCGCGCCTACGGATCTATCGTGCCGGCTTTATGGCGGCTACGGACGTGGAGGATGTATGTTCGCCGCTCCTACGGAACATGGACGGGGCTATGCGCGGCTAGCGGCGGCATACGGACGTGGCGGCGCTACGGCCGGCGGCTCCCCTACGGACTGGCGGCCTATGGCGGTTGATGCTCTATAGCGTCACCTAGAGCGCTAATCACGCACTCTTACCTCAACCACGTCTAGCGCTTTCGCTTCGAAGTTAAATCGTCGGTTACATTATGTTTTATCCAAATAGTTAAAAAAAGGTAATGCTTATATCGTCGCTATCCCATGTTGATGAGAGATTTAATGAGGTGTTCGTTAACATAAAAGTATCTCTTGCTAATTGCCTGAACACTGTTTAGCTCAAATTACATTGCTATTAGAAGCCATTCCGCCTAGAAATACTTTACGGTTGGTTCATTGACTACCGTTGACCTGTTTTATGTAAAAATAAACGAACTCCGCCAATGGGCTTTTACTTTCCATCTTTTGGGTCGTGTTCTTTTATACTTTAGCCACAAACATTACATTAAAATAGTCATCACGATTTCTCATGCAAAATACTCTCATAACTTATCTTATTTCATAAACGCCATACCATGCTTAAAGTAGACACTTTGCGCGCCTATGATAGTCACTTGCGGGCCTAACTCCCGGCACCCCCACGCGCTCCACCGTCCCACAGTATACGTGTATGTTTAACAGACCGCGATTTTCCTTGGTCACCTTTGGACATGCATCATGTAAATAACGGACAGATTCTCCGAGGCGCTGGAACCGCCTATATTTAGCTGTGACACTGTCCAATAAGCGACCAGATTCTTACCGTCAGGTGACCTGAATCATCATGCGTCACCACCCTGCTAATCAAACGCACAGATCTTTCCGAGCGCGCGTGGACCCTACTTATCATGCTCACATGCTCAATAACACAGATCTTCCGACTAGGCGTTGACCTATATACTGCTCACCACTGTGAATAACGCGACAGATCGTTCGAGCCGCGGTGACGCCCTATATATGTCACATCTGCAATAGACGTGACACTTGATTCTTCCCCGACGTCGCCCGTGACCTGATATATGTCCACAACTTTGTTAATAACGACTCGTCTTGATCTTCCGAGCGCCCCCGCCCCGCGCCGCTCATGCGCGCGACTCCG